TTGTTATATATTAGATTTATACAACAGTTGATCATAGCTTTTCATTAGATTGAATATCTTCATTTACAATTTGTTAAGTCTAGTTCTTGCCTTAAGCGAAAGAACCAAAAGCATACTATCCATGTATTACGCAATTGTTGGGCAAGTCACTGAAGACGAGCTTGCTCTGCTAATAGAAGTGAGTAACTTATCTTGTGGATTTTTCGGTGTTGCAGTGTTACATGTTTTTCAATATTTGGCAGTCTTACCAAATCTTAGTTGGTATATCTTTGAAAACTATTTATGTTGATGTTCATCAGAAGGACAGCATCTCTTGTACGAGGAGAGCACAGAGTTTTGCAAAGTCAAACTTTCCTGTCTGTTTGGGTGGCTTGTACATAATCTCAAGCAACTAAAACCCACTCACCAGAAAAGTTCTGCAGCTGAGACTGAAGTTTCTTCTACAAAGCTGAATCTGCCAAAGGATACTCTAGCACAATTTTTACGTAAATGTCTTCTGGTATCATCTTCTGACAACCACCAGCTGATCTCTTCAGCCCTAAATCTTGCGAATATGATGGGAAACAGCCCACTGGCTGAGAAGCTCAATAAGCTGTGCAAGTTAGGTCTATCAAATCGAGACACTCATGAAGAGAACTCTTCCCTCACTAGTTTCGAAAGCTTCCTTTCGCAGCAAGAGGATTCCATCCGTCAAGCAGCTGCAAAGCTAGAGAATATTAAACTTCACCGAATGAAGGCCAACTATGTAAAAACCACAGATGGAGACATGGAGAATCGGAGAATGTGGGCTGTGGCAAAATCATGGAATCCATGTCCAATTGGTATGTTGCCTCACAGTCTTCGTTCTTCTGGCCATCTTCCTGTTCTAGACTGCAATGATGACTGTAAAATAGAGAAATCTTCTGAAAGCATAGGCCACTGCGAAATAAACCACTGTAGTGGGAAGAGAGGGGCTGATTGTGCTATTGAACTTTTGGATGAATCAAGTGTTAAAAAACTGAAGGAAAGTGAAGAGGGTTGTGAATCGAATGGTAAGGAAGATATGTCACCGGAAGGTGTCAAAGGGCAGTTGCTGGTTGGTGGTGTGTGGAAAAAAGTTACCGAGGAAGAGCTGCTTGCCATCACTTCAGCCGTGAGGATTTTAGTTTAGTTGTGATTACTGTACCAATTTCTGTCACACTGTGGCCGTCCTTTGTTAAGCTTGGAGAACGAGGCAGTTGCAGAATTGACTGAATTGGCAAGGTTAGATGATAGTGTATAAGCTATTTATCTTTTCGTTGTTGTCTCATTATTTGATTTCTATTAGTCTTTTCATGTATAAAGCCGGCTAATCCAGTATTTAAGTCCTGGAAATGGGTCTTGTTTGAGGAAATCTTCTTGAAACCTCCTTAGATTATATTAATTGTAACGAAGGTTTCCAAAGTATAGAATTTATCTTATTTTGATCTTCAATATTTTAATTAATCTATACTAGTAATAAAATTATCTTAAGTGAAAAAATTTTAATTTACTATTTTATCCTCATAAAAATTTTAAATACCATACTATCTTGTCATAGTCAAATATTTAAATTACAATTACATCTTCATTTATTTAAATTTTCAAATTACCCTCTAATATTTCTTTTAATTCTCTATCATTTTTGCATAAATATCAATATCTATGAAAAATTTTAATTAACTACATTACCCTTAATAAAATATATGCATCATTATAGTTTTCAATAAAGTGTTCAAAAACTTATTTAATAAAGAATGAAACTTTTGTATTAGCATGAAAATTTCTTAATCACTATTTTATTCTTATAAATAATTTTAAATATCATACTGTCCTTATGTAGTCGAATATCTAAATTATTATAATATATTTATGTGTTTGAATCTCCAAATTATCCCTGACATCTCTTTTAATTATCTATTTGTTATCTATAAATATCAGTATCTATGAAATTTTTTAATTAGCTACGTTACCTTTAAAAAATATGTGCATCACAACAATTCTCAATAAAACGTTCAAACAAAATCTTCAAAAACTTCATTAATATAATACGATTCATTTCAATTATAAAAATAACATTATACTTACACATATGTATTTTTTTATCCAAAATAAGATTACATTTTTACCATTTTATTTTTAAGATAAAAAATAATCTTTAACATATTTTTTAAAAATAATTTATATTAAATTAACATAATTCTTCAATCATTGTAATATTTTCATGTTTTATTAAGAGTTTATATAAAAAAATTATAGTGTATTTTAAAGTAAAACTTGAATTTTAGAATTTTAATATTCTTTTAAAATATATATTATAGAGTAATATATTATAATTTAGGGTAAATAACACTTTTAGTCTTTAAAATATGTATATTTTGACAGTTTGCTCTTCATTATATCAATTTTGTCCCTAAAGCATTTAGTTAATGTTTAAATAATTCATACTGTTAAGTTTTTAACATAAATGATCATGTAATACTGTCTGACGGAATGACACGTGGTCATTTTCGTTAAAAAACTTAATGGACTATTTGGTTAAAGATCATTTAAACAATAATTGAATATTTTAAGGACCAAAAATCATAGGTTTCAATGAAAAACNACGCCACCTAATTGAAGGATAAATAGGATGAGACTAAGACCGTCAACAGGATCATACGCAAATAGGATTTGGATCCATTCGAATTTAATTAAAAAATATTATTAAATTCGATTTGTTTACTCAATAAATATAAAAATATTAATTCATATTTGAATCCACTTATAATTAGACATTCAATTCGATCACCAGATTCCTTTGTAAAAATATTCCACTAAAATTTAACAAATATTTTTTTAGATCAAATACAAATAATCAGCATATATTTGTGTATAATATATATGTAATTATTGAATAAGATTTATATATTCATATACAATTTAAGATAAGAAAAATTTTAATCACACTCTTTCTAGTTAACCATATCTTCAAAAACATTACTTCTATTTTTTAAATTTTCACTGACATTCTCTGTCAAATTAAAAGTATTAATTAAAATACAATTTTACTAAATTACCTTTGATATATTTTCAAAAAAATTTCATTCACACCCCCTCTAAATAGACATATCTTTAATAAGATTCCTTTTATTTTTAAAACTTTTTTAATTATTAAAATTTGAGTCCATTAAAATTCGATTCCAACTAATTAAAATTTAAGCCGATTAAAAATTATATTTTTTTATGTATTAAAATTTGAGCCAATTAAAATTATATTCAAAACTCAAATCAAATTTTAATCAACTCTTCTTTAAATTTTAATCGACCCAGTTTTTGATACATAAAAAAATATAAATTTTAATTAACTCAAATTTAATAAGTAAAAAATAAATTTTAATCAACTTGAATAGAATTTTATAAATAAAAAATATAAATTTTAATCAATTCAAAACGAATTTTAATTGGGTCTAACAATTCAAATTGACTCAAAATTTAATACGTAAAAAATAAATAAAAATTAATCTGCTCAAATCAAATGTTAATCAATTCAAATTTTAATATGTAGAAAAATAAATTTTAACTAGTTCAAATTTTATGTAAAAAATATTGTTTAAAATTTATGTAAGGTCAATTTTGGTATTTTGAGATAATTTATTTTTGTTATAAGTGTGATGGTTTACTAGCAAGAAGTGTTAGTGATGTTTAAATATAAATTAAAAAGGATATCAATGATATTTTTAATAATAGAGAGAGTTCCTCGAAGATATAATATATTAGGAGTGTGACTAAAAATTTTCCTTTAAGATAGTTACAAGTGGCTGAAAATTTTCCGCCATAGGTTCTTTAAACCAGTCAACCAATAGTTTACTCGGCCCGAAGAATACAGGCCCATGGCCCTAAACACTGGGTTAATAGTCTTCCCATGGGCCATGGCCAACCATGTGGCAAGATGGCTAGCCCATTGGCTTAGTTGACTGTCAAGCCATCAGGCCACAAGCAATTTAGCGACCATTGTATATGTGGTAAGAATACGTTGCCAAACAAAGTATTATATAGAAAAAAATAATTATTTTTTAGGTCGAATTATAGTTAAATAAGGATAATTTAAGACAAAAAAATAAAGATCGGTCTTAACATTTAAAAATCGATATTAAAATAGATTTCAAACAAGCTTATTTTGTAATGATTTCTGCATAAAACAAAGAACAATTCAACAGCATCATGTTTGTTGGATCTTATCTCTGTTCTGTGTAACAGCTCTACCCTTGTCCGTTCAGCGCCCTTGACCTTGATGGTCGACATTAAACAGCCACAGGTATACACATTAACCCCAAGAACTTAAAAAGTCGACTCCTTTATCATTTCTACGGTAGGACTGGTGTATGATCTTTTGAAATGATAATACAACCCATTGACATGTAATCAACTTCATACAAATTATAATATCCTCCATTTCCTCTAATATCCAAATTCAGAATAAATCTCTTCTGTTCCGACTCACATCGGTTAAAAATCTATAATACNTTTTTTTAATTTTAAAAAAAAAAAAAAAAAAAAAAAAAAAAAAAAAAAAAAGCAAGACTTGTATAATACTCGGGCGTTGGCATCTTTATAATACCGATCAGGTGCCCTGTCGATTATCAGAGCTTGAGTACACAAACGCTTGTTTGGCTATTTACATTTTACTACTTAATTAAATCATTAGGAAAAATACACACGGCAAAACCAAAAATGAATTATTTACGTACAAAGCATGAAAAAAGTGATTGAGCTCTTGAGATTGCTTTTAAAGCAATTAATTTATACAAATTGATCGTCTTTATAAAAAATGAACTGTACAAAAATGGCGTCCTTTAGTATGCAGGAAATGTCCGGCCCAATCCGTTGCCATTAACGAAGAACCCCACGAGGTCTGGCCTGTACGGTAAATACGATTTTCTCTTGTTTCCTTCCTTCAAAGCTCTATTTCGTACATAAAACGCCTCATGAGCAGACGCCGCCGCCTTCGATTTGCCGGTGACCTTTACAATCTCTCCAGGGGTTTTCTTCTCTTTCGGATTTTCAATTTTCTTACTTTTTCCAGGTTTTTCTTCTGTATTTTTTGGTGTCAGAAACACGAATGAATCTTTGCCATCGCTGTTGCTTCGACGGATCAAATCTCGAATTTTCCACCCCTTCGACGACGATCCAGTCGAATTGCTCTTCTTACATCGACTCGGCGACGATTCAACCACTTTTGGCCTCCACACGCAGAACGTTCCTGGAGGGACACTTTCCAATTCGTCAGCTTCTGAGGACGACGACGACGGTGGCTCAAGTTCATCCTCGCGTTCTCGTACAAACAAGTTTTTCAACGGAATTCTAATTCTGGATACTTCATCAAGAGGCTTAATTTGGTGATCTTCAGTATCATTTTCTATGAGATGGCGGTTGAAGATTGGGAAAACCCCACGAATCTGACCGCCGTAAAAGATTTCATCAGCCAAAGCATCTGGATCCCCAGCTACTAGAGCGAATTCAAAATCATCATCACCGTCATCGTTGTCGCTAAAGTCGTGTGAGGTTTCAACGGGCTGTTCTTCATCTTCACCAAATTCAGAGTCTTGGCTGAATTCTTCGCTAACTCTGGCGGCTATTTCTGCGAATCTGTCGGAAGAATAGCTAGTAAAACTAGGGCACAGAGAGAGATCATCAAAACTTTGCTCCATTTCGAGCTGTTCCTGTTCTTCTATTGCTGGTTCAGGTGCAAAAATTATGAGGAGACAAACTGGTGTTCTTTAATTGTTGCTAAAGAGGAAAGGGCTTTATATAACGAGTGTGTTTTGCTTGGGAAGTGGTTGGGGGTTTGTACCGGAAACTGTGGGACCCCAAGGGCTTGTATTAGTTTGGTGACTTTCAAGACTTGAGAACGTTCGGATCGTTGAATTGACGCGCTCTCTCTGTCTCTTTCTTGACGCCACTCATGCGGTGAGTTCTCACGTGGGTTTTCATAAAATTAAACCCAGCGTTTACACTGCTTGGCATAATTTCTATCGTCATTGTTTACGTGATACCATTAATTTCCCATCGTCATTGCTAACCTAATAAATTTTTGGCATGCTTATCATGAATAATAATAATAGCCCTCTCTCTCTCTCTCTCTCTCTCTCTCTTCATTTTCATTTTTTTTTCTTTTTCCTTTTGCAATCACATAGACAATCACTCAGGCCCAGGAGCAATGGTTTCCGTCAAGGGTTTTTCGAACTTTGTTCCCTAACAGTTTTTAAAATTTGTATTCTGTTCGTTCAAAAATTAAATTTTTTATATTGCACCTTAATATATCAAAAATATTACTATACAACGTGATCTTTATTATATTAATTTTTGTTATTTTTTTGATCAAAAATTAATTTATTGACACTGAAAAAAAAATTAACAGAAAGGTCACGCGAAATTTTTGATACATTAAAAGTACAACGTAAAAATTTTAAAATAAAAATTTTAAAATCTTTCAAGGTATAAATTTTAAATTCTTAACCAGAAGTTAAAGGGAAGTCAAATTACAACAAACATGAGACTTTTTTTTTAATTTGTAAGGAGAAATTCGCTTGCAGATTTTATGTCTTTTAAGTTGACATGTATATTTAATCTTTTTTTTCTTAATATTAAGGTGGCGATTTCTAGAACATAAAAACGTTGACTTTCTAGAAATACGACCAAGGGAGAAACGGAACAGCCATGACGTCGTCATTATAAAAGAATCTTGAAAAAACCTTGTTTGGCAAGAAATCTTTTTTTGGACTTAAATAATGTACTAGACACAGCACACCCATGATGTCAGGGGTCGTAGAGATGGAAAAGCTTGTTGGGAAAGCAATCTCATCTGGTTCTACACTTCCTTGAAGAAATTTCTGTGTTAGTATTGCACACCACTTGGCAGAGGCATAGCCTTTGGGAAAGGTGGCAGTGGGACTGCTTTCAAACATGAAACGCCACCTAATTGAAGGATAAATAGGATGAGACTAAGACCGTCAACAGGATCATACGCAAATAGGATTTGGATCCATTCGAATTTAATTAAAAAATATTATTAAATTCGATTTGTTTACTCAATAAATATAAAAATATTAATTCATATTTGAATCCACTTATAATTAGACATTCAATTCGATCACCAGATTCCTTTGTAAAAATATTCCACTAAAATTTAACAAATATTTTTTTAGATCAAATACAAATAATCAGCATATATTTGTGTATAATATATATGTAATTATTGAATAAGATTTATATATTCATATACAATTTAAGATAAGAAAAATTTTAATCACACTCTTTCTAGTTAACCATATCTTCAAAAACATTACTTCTATTTTTTAAATTTTCACTGACATTCTCTGTCAAATTAAAAGTATTAATTAAAATACAATTTTACTAAATTACCTTTGATATATTTTCAAAAAAATTTCATTCACACCCCCTCTAAATAGACATATCTTTAATAAGATTCCTTTTATTTTTAAAACTTTTTTAATTATTAAAATTTGAGTCCATTAAAATTCGATTCCAACTAATTAAAATTTAAGCCGATTAAAAATTATATTTTTTTATGTATTAAAATTTGAGCCAATTAAAATTATATTCAAAACTCAAATCAAATTTTAATCAACTCTTCTTTAAATTTTAATCGACCCAGTTTTTGATACATAAAAAAATATAAATTTTAATTAACTCAAATTTAATAAGTAAAAAATAAATTTTAATCAACTTGAATAGAATTTTATAAATAAAAAATATAAATTTTAATCAATTCAAAACGAATTTTAATTGGGTCTAACAATTCAAATTGACTCAAAATTTAATACGTAAAAAATAAATAAAAATTAATCTGCTCAAATCAAATGTTAATCAATTCAAATTTTAATATGTAGAAAAATAAATTTTAACTAGTTCAAATTTTATGTAAAAAATATTGTTTAAAATTTATGTAAGGTCAATTTTGGTATTTTGAGATAATTTATTTTTGTTATAAGTGTGATGGTTTACTAGCAAGAAGTGTTAGTGATATTTAAATATAAATTAAAAAGGATATCAATGATATTTTTAATAATAGAGAGAGTTCCTCGAAGATATAATATATTAGGAGTGTGACTAAAAATTTTCCTTTAAGATAGTTACAAGTGGCTGAAAATTTTCCGCCATAGGTTCTTTAAACCAGTCAACCAATAGTTTACTCGGCCCGAAGAATACAGGCCCATGGCCCTAAACACTGGGTTAATAGTCTTCCCATGGGCCATGGCCAACCATGTGGCAAGATGGCTAGCCCATTGGCTTAGTTGACTGTCAAGCCATCAGGCCACAAGCAATTTAGCGACCATTGTATATGTGGTAAGAATACGTTGCCAAACAAAGTATTATATAGAAAAAAATAATTATTTTTTAGGTCGAATTATAGTTAAATAAGGATAATTTAAGACAAAAAAATAAAGATCGGTCTTAACATTTAAAAATCGATATTAAAATAGATTTCAAACAAGCTTATTTTGTAATGATTTCTGCATAAAACAAAGAACAATTCAACAGCATCATGTTTGTTGGATTTTATCTCTGTTCTGTGTAACAGCTCTACCCTTGTCCGTTCAGCGCCCTTGACCTTGATGGTCGACATTAAACAGCCACAGGTATACACATTAACCCCAAGAACTTAAAAAGTCGACTCCTTTATCATTTCTACGGTAGGACTGGTGTATGATCTTTTGAAATGATAATACAACCCATTGACATGTAATCAACTTCATACAAATTATAATATCCTCCATTTCCTCTAATATCCAAATTCAGAGTAAATCTCTTCTGTTCCGACTCACATCGGTTAAAAATCTATACTACTAATAAAAATATCTTAGAATAAAAACATTTTAATTTCTTATTATTCCCTTATAAAAAATTATAAATGTTGACATATCCTTATGTACCTCAATATGCAACTTACCATATTTTAATAACAAATTAATTTCTAACATATCAAATAAATCTTTCTATTTTTGTAAAACTTTTGAATAGACATGTTATGCTTAACATGATATATAAAAACAACAATTTTTTTTTCTTAAACCCTAATATTAATACACATCGACACTCCACTAATTCAATCAATATCATCTCCGACACCCAAACACAAATATACATCTTTTCTCTTCATTTGTAATCAAAATAATTTAGTAACAAATTACTGAAGCATAAAGTAAAAAAAAAAAATACAAAAAATAAAGAAAAAAAAGTCACAAATAATGAGTCTATCAATTGTTTATAATTATGAAAAAAATACAAAACATTTAAGAAAGATAAATATGAGATAATATTTAATTTAACTACATAATTATATTTTTTTAAGCATGTTATCAAATCATCGAATAACCTTTGAATGTGTGTGCAGGTTATATAGCAGCTATGACATTTCTGTTTTAAGTAGAAATGTGACTTCTAATAAAAAAAAAAAAAAGCATGTTATCAAATGTTTCAACAAAACATTTTATATGCATTGCACATAGTACATTGCTAGTTAGGCTAAATATTTCAAAATTTGAAGAGCCATTCAGGTGAAGAGAGTGGGTTAGAAAATTTTTTTAGTTTTTGATTAAATAAAATAACTTAAAAAAAGGAAAATAGAGAGCGGTTGGACTTGCTCTTACAAGCCAGGAACAAATTCTAACCATGGTTTCATAACAAAATGATCTAATTGTGTTAAACCAAACCATGTATTTTATTTCATCAGAATCCCATTTGGGTTTTCTTTAATCACTTCAAACGACTACCGCATAAAGTAACAGAGTAAAGAAACTAACGATTAAATATCCAATAGTAAGATTAACCATTATAGACATTTCAAAACTTTCTGAAACTTGGAAAGAGAAACAAGCGTTGTTGCTTTAAAAATCATTGTCTTGATTCTTGAGAAAACAAAAGGGTAATTAGGAGTAATTTAAAACATTAATAAGGAACACTGACAATGTAATTAAATAGCTAAAACCATTAAAAAAATGTACTTAGGCTTACTAGACCAGCTTCAGAGACCGATTNCCAAGGGCTTGTATTAGTTTGGTGACTTTCAAGACTTGAGAACGTTCGGATCGTTGAATTGACGTGCTCTCTGTCTCTTTCTTGACGCCACTCATGCGGTGAGTTCTCACGTGGGTTTCATAAAATTAAACCCAGCGTTTACACTGCTTGGCATAATTTCTATCGTCATTGTTTACGTACGTGATACCATTAATTTCCCATCGTCATTGCTAACCTAATAAATTTTTGGCATGCTTATCATGAAAAATAATAATAGCCCTCTCTCTCTCTCTCTCTCTCTCTCTCTTCATCTTCATTTTTTTTTTCCTTTTTCCTTTTGCAATCACATAGACAATCACTCAGGCCCAGGAGAAATGGTTTCCATCAAGGGTTTTTCGAACTTTGTTCCCTAACAGTTTTTAAAATTTGTATTATGTTCATTTAAAAATTAAATTTTTTACATTACACCTTAATATATCAAAAGTATTACTATACAACGTGATCTTTATTATATTAATTTTTGTTATTTTTTTGGTCAAAAATTAATTCATTGACACTGAAAGAAAAATTAACAGAAACGTCACGCAAAATTTTTGATACATTAAAAGTACAACGTAAAAAATTTAATTTTTAAAAATATAAAATAAAAATTTTAAAATCTTTCAAGNATGTACTTAGGCTTACTAGACCAGCTTCAGAGACCGATTGTTAAGTCAATCTCAGCAAATCTGAAGAGCAAAAGATGATTTAATATCCGAGCAGATTAACACCTCCCTTCCGATATTCTGTTATCAACGAAAGGG